CATACGTACACCAGCATGCTTTTTATGAGTTCTTTCTTTCTCGATATAAAAAACCGTGCTATTATCATGCTGTTTTTCGAAATTTTCAGATCAACGAGTGAAACGTCAATTAATTATTAGAAGACGTACGCACACGATAATTTAATATCCGAAAAATAGTCTTTTCTGCATCGAAATTATCTTTCATATGCCTGAAATACAATTTTAACGATGAAATAAAAATATCTTTGTTCAAAACAGACTATCCATATTTATGAATTTTTTTTTGTAGATGACTCACAGTAGATCTATATGTTCTACGATGATCAAGATGTTTTTCTTTTTGTTAGAAAAGTGACATATTTAGTAGACAATTTCACAACACCACAGTAGTCTCGTTTTTCTTCGTCTTAACTACCATAATTGTTCAGTAGTAATCAGAATAAGTGAGTATATTCAGAGTAATTTAATCCATTAAAGTTATTGTTAATAGTAGATGAAATGAAATATTAATGTTATTACAAATTAGGCAGTTATACACTTGCAAAATCTATACATTGATTTCGTTTTTTTTTCAAGTTCCTTTATCAACTATTCTATTATTTTGTTCCCTTTTTTTATTGAATGATAATTTTCATAAAATATGTTCAAGCTCATAAATTTATAGACAAAACAGTTGATATTTTTTCTATAAATTATTTCATCTAAATCTCAAATGTAGGCGACTATAAAATGTTTCGCGATCTCTTATGCTATTCAAAGTAAAAATTTTTCATGGCATATTCGAAATAAACCTGATTACAGGAAAAAACTCATGTTTAATCAGTAGTTTTTAACCAGCTTTGTTTGAACATTTGTCTATTTTTCAATACGTTTGTTGCAGTGGTTTTTATCAAATATAAAACAACTCTTTTGTTCTCTTTTGAACTTAATCATGTTCGATTATCTTTCTTTTATAAATTGAATTATTTTCACAGAACACTCTCAGAGGACATGCTCTGTGCAGATTTGCTCAATGTTCTATGGGCATGTACTTGAGTGTTGAATTCTTTCACAAAAGTCTTTGTAGATTTTTATTTATCAAACAACTCTATAATTTAAAACTTATGAAATTCGAATTGTTTGTTTTTTTTTTGCTTTTTATTAGTTATTCTTATACATATCTGAACTTCGTGATAATTTGAATAAATATGAATGATAATAGTCCTCAATCTAAATCTTCGATACAAGCATCAGGTTTATCCAATTCTACATCTAGCCAAGTTCCACAAGTAAAATATTCAAACAACCAACATTCTTCTCAAACAGCTTCCTCGAATAATGATTTACTTGTTTATATACCTGATATCCCAACAAACATATCAGAAAATGAACTTGAGGAAATGATTCAAACTCGTATGGATAAAAATCTACGTATCAAAATAAGTGATATAAAATGCTATTCAAATCTCGGTGTTGCTGTGATTCGATTAATGAATGAAGAAGACAAAAAACATCTTGTTTCTAATGTTCAATCAATGGTTCTCGACGTGAAACATAATACAAATATATTGTTCGTTGATGAGCTCGATCTCGATTCTTCTATAGTACTCGATCGAAATATATCCAAAATTTCTACCGCTGACGAAGTGGCTCGTCGCTATATGCAAGTATATAAAATAGCAGACCTTCGTTCATGTCAACAGATATCTGTTCAGTGTCCAAATATTTTTCTTTTCTCTCTGAATACATTCGATGAACTTGTTAAAGCAGTTAAAAATCCAGATTTTAAAATTGGAAGTACCTTTGCTACTGTTTATTTGCGTGCTGATTGTAGTTATTTTGAAGATTTACCACCATAAACTAATGATGCAAAAATTTCATCAGCCATTGCCAGTCAAATTGATGAAAATAAACTTCAATCTACGTCTTTTTACGTGCAATATAATAAGCAGACAGGTAATGCAATTGTCTTAGCAACACAGTCAAACATTAAAAATGGATAATAGAAAGTGTTTTAACCATCAATGGACAAAACATAACAAAAAAGACAAAACTTGCGTATCGTGTTCTTGTCTTTCCTGTGCCAGAGGGTTTTAATATCGATCAAATTCTTAAACATCAATTGTTTGGACGAATTGTTATGATAATTGTTTATCAGTTGGAGCTCTTCGTTTCGGCAACATCATGATGCAAATTGTGCCACATACTCTAGCTGCTGATCTAGACAAAACTGAAATAAATGCTGAAAATTGGTATGAAACAGAGATGTTCAATATAAAACCAGATATAATGACAATGATAAGAAATCTTCAACATCCAATATTTCGTTATAAATGGAATGTACAAATTTGGATTGAACAGATGAAAAAATTAGATGTGAGAAATAGACAATCAAAACAATATGATCTTAATCGACATTTATTACGAGTAACAGTTATGTTAAATACAATAGGTGTTGTTCGAAAGAAAAAATATGTAGTTGATGATGAAGAAATAATTTTAAAATCTGAACCTATGAAAACAATTGGATACAATTATCAATCAAAATTATTATACGAAAAAACAATTGCGCAAACAGATATGAAAACACCCTATCCATCAACAAATATTATTGTAATTAATGAAGATTGTCTTGTTCTTTATGAAAAATTAGTCTCCGAAGGCTATCGACCATTATTATTAAATATGGCAAATGCAACTAATCCTGGAGGTGGATATCGTAAAGGTGATGGAGCACAAGAAGAAAATCTATTTCGTCGATCAGATTATTATCAAAGTCTTGATTCTGATGTTGCCGATAAAGATCGATCAGAACGACTTTATTGTACAACAAAATGTGAATTGAAACAATCAACAACATTTGATGAATACTATCCAATGAAAGAATTCGGAGCTATTTATAAACATCTGGTATTACTGTTTTTCGTCAAACAGAAGCCAATGGATATGCTTTTATGAAAAATCCTTAATATAATGTGTGTGCTATTGCTATGGCTGCATATCGTGATCTAGAATTAACTAAGGAAAAAATGTTAGAAAATATATTTGCTATTGCACATCATTATAAACATGATTGTTTAGTATTATCAGCATTTGGTTGTGGTGCTTGCAAAAATCCACCTGAACATGTTGCTTTACTTTTTAACTCTGTTATTTATCAATATGCTGGCTATTTTAAAACAATTTATTTTGCTATTGTTGATGATCATAATACTGGAAATCGAATTAATCCAGATGGAAATCTTCTTCCATTTAAAAAAATACTTAATGGTTTGAATGTTCATCCACTATCAACAATACGTGTTAATGGTGTTAGTGGATCAAATCGTATTCTAAATAAAACATCAGATGGAAAATTAAATCTAAGTGATGTATATATTTTATATCTTCAACCATGTCAATATGGATCAAAATGTCATGATCTTAAAAATCCTCAACACAATAACAATTATTTACATCCACCAATATGTTCATATCAAGATGCAACATCATTATGTGAACAGATGAATGATGAAGTACATATGTTTACATTTCTACATAATATCAAATGTCAATATGGTGGTCAATGTGATGATAAAGATCCAAACCGTTTGAGTGAATATGATCATCCAGATTATTGTTTAGATGGAGGCAATTGTCAAAATGTTCATCAACAACTTGTAAAGAATTTCGTCATTGTAAATCTATGTGTTCTTATGATAATTGTTGTATTCAATTTCATGATAAACAACATTTTGAAGCTACAATACATTCATTTCGATTACCATGTCCATTTACACCATATAATTGTTCAAGGGAATATAATTTATGGTCAGTAAAATAAATGAAATGATCAGTAGAATAAATGAATGGTCAGTAAAAAATGAATGATCAGTAAATTATTTAAATGGTCAGTTATTAAAATAACTGGTTCGTTAATATATTTAAAGGTCAGTAAATTAATTTAAATGGTAAGTATAAACATCGAAACGTGTTATACTATCACATTACCCGTGTTAACAGCGCCTTTGAGGCAATCAATAAAAGAAACAAAAATGATTAAATAATTAGAGAATGTCATGTTTTATGGAGATTTTTGACAATGGCTTCAAATATTGTCGTTAGTTGGTGAACTGGACGAGACTCTTCTTCAATTAATGCAAAATATTTGTTACAGAATCAACAATATCTTCAGAATTGTAGACTTTATCTTATCAATGGGCTAAATCAACAAAAAACTTAGTTGGCCTTCCAAATGATGCTTCAGAATAATATTGTATTCGAGCTAGTCATTTAGAATCGATTACATAAGTCGATTTAAATAAATATATAAATAAAAAAATTGACAACTTTTATTCAATACAAAAATCATTTAATATTTGGTGTTTGGAAATGAAACATGGCTCAGCTTGGAAAACATCAAATGCAACTGTTTAGGTTTTTTTTGAAGAACTGCATATGCAAACACATTGTAGATGTGTCTGTTCATTTGAAATATTGTAAATCACTAGCAAAAAAAACGTCTCGATCAATGAGAAAAGAAAACAGAGGTAGACTAGTGAAGGCTAAACCTATATTGCTAGTATAATAATTGAATTTTCATTTTCTTTTTTGCTT